AGTAAAATTTCTTCGCGATCAAGCGAAAGAGGTAATACTAGCGTATGAAGTAGAAAACTCAAACTCGAATGAAAGGAACGTGGATGAAGTGTTGGTAGGATGGACGCTGCCGAGGATTGGGTGGATGAAGCTGAACACAGACGGAGCATCTCAGGGTAACCCGGGACCGGCGGCTGCAGGCGGAGTAATAAGAAATGGTGAAGGTGAATGGTGTGGAGGATTTGCACTAAACATAGGCAGATGTACGGCACCGTTGGCGGAACTTTGGGGTGTGTACTATGGCCTCGTGGTTGCTTGGGAAAGAGGGGTTCGGAGGTTGGAGGTAGAAGTAGACTCGAAGATGGTGGTACCCATCCGCTGTCTTTCCTAGTACGTTTGTGCCATGGCTTTTTGACAAGGGACTGGTTGGTCCGGATCGTGCATGTGTTTCGAGAAGCAAATCGTGTAGCTGATGGTCTAGCTAGCCTTGCTTTCTCTCTTCCTTTTGGTTTTCATAGTTTCGACTTTGCCCCGCTTGAGCTTGTTTCTCTATTACACGAAGATGTCGTTGGACCTCCACGGCCACGACAAGTTCGAATTGTGAACTGAGTGCCTTTTTCTTTTTAATCAAAGTTGGGAGTGACCCTCCCATATTCCCACCACAAAAAAAAATGAAAATATGTTTGTTGTTAAAAATAAAGATTTTTGTAACAATGACAATGGTACATAGTTAAGTACTTGTAGCAAACAAGTGACAATGACTCGTGTTTTTTGATTGAGTACTTGTAGCAAACAAGTGGGTATCAATTAGTGTGGAAGAAGAATGGACACATAACTTAAGCGTAGTTCATATAAAAACTATAATAACGGTAGCAGCTAACAACAGCAAAAGTAATTAAACAAAGAATTAAGGTAAGAATTTTTTAAAATACAAGTTGTAGTAAATACTCCTGCGATTATTAACATTGACATCGTTTTTTTCCCAACAATTAACTAAACTATGTTGTTTGCGCTATTGATTCACCTAACCAATCCGGAGACACAAAATCGACATAGAACATAGCATAAGAAAATTTCTAGCACCTCGTGAAAGTTTGTCCGCCACTGAATTATGAACTCTTGAAATATGTCTGATCTTGAAAAAGGGAAAGAAAGTTTTACTACATTGGAACTCCTCCAAATGTATTGAAAAAGCTGACTCTTCTTCAGGTGACGACACTATCTTCACCAATTGAGAACAATCAGTTGCAAATACTACGTCTGAAAAATTAAGGGTTTTCATACACTCCACCGCCCATATCAAAACTTCACATTCTGCAGATAAAGCTGATAGACTACATCGGATATTCATCGCCCCCATCATGTTCTCATTTGACCTTACGGTCATACAGAACCAACCTTGTCCCGAAAACTTATCTTGCTCCTTCCACACCCCATCGATAAAACACACCCTAAAAAGTTCTAGATATTTCCAATCCCACATTGGGGGAGGGGATTGTGCCTTTCAGGAACCGAAAGTTGAGCCTCAGCCAATAATGTACCCTCCACATTCGCTATCCGAAGTATCTCTTGCAGATTACCATTTCTATTCTTATAAATCTTCTCGTTCCTATTCTTCCAAATATACTACAAGATCCAAGGAAAGGTAGCAAAATCATTTTTTTGGAAGTCTCCAAAAAAGATAATCCATGTTAGTAAAGATAGTTCATATTAGTTTAACATTTTTCCTTCACAAGAACCCTGGTCTTCCAAGAAAATGCACATGGCTGTTCTTAAAGACAACAAATGAGTTTAACATATATCGTTAGAGATGATTGGTAATTATAGTAACACCTCAAAAATTCTAAACAATTCAATACTTCAAAAATTATTACCCCTAGGTGATAGTCTGTCCTGCGCAGAGTGAAACATATTTTTGAAATGTTATCATATTTTACGTATATTAAATAAATTTGCATGAAATAAGATTTATTTTTCTTTAATTATGTAATTATTGCATGAAATTTTCTATAATATTAAATATTTACATTTAATATTTTAAGGTGAAAAAGAGTTTTCTCAAAAAATTAATTTTATTAAAATTAGTGTAGGTTTTACATATTTTGATTAAATCTAAACAATTTTGAAAATTCTGCGTATTGCGTAGAACGAATATTGTATATATAGATTATTTACGTATTAGTATTTATTTTTTGGAAAACCTAACTTATAGTATAGTATGTGGTCACATATATTTTCTTTGTAATTTTTTTTCCACGATGACCTATGATAAAACTTGATATATATACACAAATTATACTCAAGAAATTTTCTATTTCTTATTTTATAGTTTTATGATATACTTAACAAAATTATATTGGCTTATATGATATACTCAAGAAAAATTATATTTGATTTTTGAACTTAAGGATGATTATCACAATGAGTGAGTGAAAATATTTAATTGTAAAATATTTGGCCTATTTTTTTAATATTGTTATTAATGAATTTTCCCCATAATTGTTCCTATAATCAATGAGAATTTTGAATAATTCGAATTTACTCAAAATTAATTACTCGATTGAAGTTGACTTTTCTACGTATTTAACACTCTTTTACTATATTGCTTTACTGAATCACTTATCTCTTTGAATTTTAAAATCGTCATTATCTAACCGAATAACCCAAGACCAACCATAACAGTGACATTCGTATTTTTGATGATGTGTGGCTATATGTATGAATCTTTGAATACAAATGTAATAGGTTAAGAATTCAACCAAAATTTTATATGAACATCTATATGAAAATGAAGAACCTAAAATGTCTTGTGGTTGTTTATGTGATGGATTGCGGTTTATGAATGAGTGAAATAGTTCATTTGTATATTGGAATGAACATCTATATAAAAATGTGTATATCCAGACCAGAATGAGGTTAAATCTTCAGCAAACTTAGCTCTTTTGTTACACAAAGCAGTTGGTAAATTTGGTTGCTAAAAATGTGGAGACACCATTCACTTTTTTTTTGTGAGTGATATTTAAATTGTATTATTACGTATTTTATATAATTATTAATTCAAATAATTGATAAGTACGGTTTCTCATAATTCACATACACTTATGTATTTTAATATTTAAATGACAATTTAACGATTTGATTCTATAAACATGTTATTAATAACACGGTGTAACATTACATCATATTAAAACATAGGTCTATGGTATTGAATTGTAAATACTCTAGTAAATTATGTTTATTTTTATAAATGGGCCGGGAGTACTTGTAAAACTGTCACATAAATAATGATAATTTTGTTGATCACACATAAAAAAAAACAAAGTTATTTATTAAAACTGCTCCTCAAATAATATATAAGGAATAATATATAATCTAAGCTAAAATTATAATTAATTTTTATTTTAATCATTAGGGGCACACTCATAAGTGATAGCAAAGCATATACACCTTTAATAAATAACTATAGAAACATAGTAATGCTATTTTGAGTAAATCCCTAAAAACAGAGGAGAGAGAGACCATCTTCGTCTTCTTCAACAACAACATCTCGTAATTCACAAAACGAAAGAGAACAAATGAATCATTTGGTGAGAAACTCGAATTCCAAGCGAGTCTTAACTCGCCCAGATTCTCGATTTATCCACTATTCACAAAACATCAATGTTATTTTGATGTTTATTGAAGATGAAATTATCTCGAATTTAGTATTTTGGTGTTTTGTACAACAATTATAAGAAGCATGACACATAAGAGTATCTCTAATGGGGATTTTACCCGTTGGGGTTTTAAAGATGCATATATGTATATGTATGTGTTATATATGTGTATGTAGGTGTTGGATCTACAAAATAGTGTAGAATTCTATTCAAAGTTTTTAAAAACAAAAATTTTAGAAACAGAGTAAATACTATTTTGAACCTTTGGATAGGGGTTCTACACTATTTTGTGAATTCCACATTTAGATACACATATATAATATATACATACTCATATATGTATTTTTAGAACTCCAATGGATAGAACTTCTTATTAGAAGTGCTCTAATATATAAAAGCTAGAATAAATTATAGGAGCAAACAACTAAAAAGATATTAATTAAAAAAAATCAAAGGTAAAAGTTTAAAAATAAAAGATGTAGTAAATACTCTAGTAACTAAAGCATTTTTAATTTCATAGTAAATTTTACTGTAAAATGGAATGAAAAATAGAATAATGAACAGATAAAAATGATTACTCTATATATAAAATAATAAAAAGTTTTGTTTTTCATTATTTTATTTCTAACTCTATTTTGTAATAAATTATGGAGTGGAACTAGAGATGCGGTTAACACTAGCATCGTTTTAACCTGATTTTCCTTCACGAGACGAGACGATGTTTTTCTCGAAAATGCTCATGGAGTCTCGTAAAACAATACAATCATCGAGTTTAATATGTTACCTCTAAACAGAACAATTTAAAATGGCAAGTTGAGATTTTGAACTTGTTTAGTCTTTGTTTTTTTTTTCTTTGAACAGAAACATATGATATCTTCGAGAAATGATTACTAATTATAGTAACGCCTCAAAAACCTCTACGATTTAATACTTAAAACAATCATTACCATATAATCTAATCTAAAATTATTAAAAAAATATTTTAATCATTAGACGATGTAAGACTTAAAAAATTATTAACTAAATTTTATTTTAATCAGTAGGGGGCACACTCATAAGTGATAAAGCATATAACTAAATATATACATATACGGCGACGATAGAAACAAAGTAAATGCTATTTCCAGTAAACCTCTAAAAACAGAGGAAAGAGAGAGAGATAGAGACACCATCTTCGTCTCCTTCTACAACAACCAACATCTCGAAATTCGCAAACCAGAGAGAATCAACTAATCAACAGGTGAGAAACTCGAAAATCAAAAGCGAGTCCAACTCGCCCAGATTCTCGATATCTCCCCCCCCCCATTAAAGACTCTATCTTTACCCCAAAACCCATCAAAAAAGATTCAAACTTTCTCCCTCCCAATGGCGGATCTCACAAGAGGAACCTCCCTCCCAAAGGAACGAAGCAGCCCACAACCCCTAATCCTCGGCCGCTACGAAATGGGCAAACTTCTCGGCCACGGAACCTTCGCCAAAGTCTACCTCGCACGCAACGTCAAAACAAACGAACACGTCGCCATCAAAGTCATCGACAAGGAGAAAGTCCTCAAAGGCGGTTTGATCGCACACATAAAACGCGAGATCTCCATCCTCCGCCGCGTCCGCCACCCAAACATCGTCCAGCTCTTCGAGGTCATGGCCACCAAAGCCAAGATCTACTTCGTCATGGAGTACGTCCGAGGAGGCGAGCTTTTCAACAAAGTAGCCAAGGGGCGTCTCAAGGAAGACGCCGCTCGCAAATACTTCCAGCAGCTTATCTCCGCCGTCACGTTCTGCCACGCTCGCGGCGTCTACCACCGTGACCTCAAACCGGAGAATCTGCTCCTAGACGAGATGGGTAATCTTAAAGTCTCTGACTTTGGGCTCAGCGCTGTCTCTGATCAGATGCGTCAAGACGGGCTTTTCCACACTTTCTGTGGGACCCCTGCTTACGTGGCGCCCGAGGTTTTAGCGAGGAAGGGTTACGATGCTGCGAAGGTTGATATTTGGTCTTGTGGTGTTGTGTTGTTTGTTTTGATGGCGGGGTACCTCCCGTTTCACGACAGGAATGTTATGGCTATGTATAAGAAGATTTATAAAGGGGAGTTTAGATGTCCGAGGTGGTTCTCGCCGGAGCTTACGAGGTTGATGTCTCGTGTTCTTGAGACGAATCCGGATAAAAGGTTTACTTTCTTGGAGGTTATGGAGAATCCTTGGTTTAAGAAAGGGTTTAAGCATGTTAAGTTTTATGTGGAAGATGATAAGCTTTGTAATGTTGATGATGATGATGAGGAGGAGGCCTTGGAGACTGGTTCTGTCGAATCAGACCGGTCTTCTGCTGTGTCTGAATCTGAGATTGAGTATTTGGAGCCTAGAAGGAAGGTTGTGGGGTTGCCTAGGCCCGCGAGTTTGAATGCTTTCGATATTATATCGTTTTCGCAAGGTTTCGATTTATCAGGGTTGTTTGATGATGATGGGGAAGGTTCTAGGTTTGTCTCGGGAGCTCCGGTTTCGAAGATTATAGCGAAGTTGGAAGAGATTGCGAAAGTTGTGAGCTTTACGGTGAGGAAGAAGGATTGTAGAGTGAGTCTTGAAGGTTCAAGACAAGGAGTGAAAGGTCCTTTGACTATTGCAGCGGAGATATTTGAGTTGACACCAACGTTGGTTGTCGTGGAGGTGAAGAAGAAAGGAGGAGATAGAACAGAGTATGAAGAGTTTTGTAATAATGAATTGAAACCCATGTTGCAGAATCTGAGAGCTGATGATGTTGAAGAGCCTGTTACGGTTTCGGCGGTTGATGAAACTGTGATATCTCCACCGGTTTGTTTCTTGCCTTCTGATACTGAATAGATGATGAAAGGCCGAAAGCTACAGAGATCGTTAGAGAAATGGGATATGGACTTTGAGTTATGTTTGTACTAACCTTTTAGCATTTATTTCTTGTGTCTGTCTGTGTGGGAGAATTGTAAACAGTTTCGCAGCAGGTCGTTGATATGTATAAAACAGTGAAATGAAATAGAGAAACTTGCTTTCTTCTTTTTAATGATCTTTTAGTTATCTTTATAATGGGTTTGTCTGTATTAAAAGCCACAATGCATCAACACCAAATCAGGCTTCGATCACGTCTAAGGCCGAGACGTCTACTTCAGTCCAGCCTCATCAGTTTAATCACACTACTGCCTCTATCAACGGTAACAAAAGAGGTCCCTCAGCTGATATCCAACTATTCAGCCGTTTTGATATCTTAGAATTGTGTGCTGTCATGTGCTGAGATGTGACGTGTTTTACAGTTGGATCTTAAGAAATAGGGTATTTCGGATTTGATAAGGATATTTTTGAATCTTTTTTTTTAAAAAAAAGATAAAAATGACCATTCGCAGACTACCACTAGGGATTTTAAGGATCGAATCTTTAATTTTTTGTGGGATCTACTGATTATTTAATTATTTTTTTCCTAAGTACTCCTCCAAGGACTCCCGTTGGAGGTGCTCTAAGACCACCCACAACGCAGAATTTAACCAAATCCTGAGCACGTATACCTAAGTAAATCAGATTTAAATAATAATATTTAATTTGCTTAAGTTAAGGAAGAATCCTTAACTAAAGAACTTAAGGACTTTATCCTTAATGATGTGGTAACGTCCGATTGTTAAAAATTTTATTTAAAAAAAAAATTAAACCCTAAGACAGAAATCCTAACCCCTAAACCCCATAACTCTAAACTCTAAGTCTAGATTATTTAACCCAAGAGGTATAAATATGTTACACTCTTTAATAAAGTCTATTTTGGTAATTTTTTCTCCTTATAGACTATATTTGTGACAAAGAAAAATTTTAGGCATTTCTAAGTCATTTTCTCATAAAAATTTTAGTTTCACATGTTTTAAAATTTAATATTTTTTTCTAAAAATTTCAAAATAGATAATACCATTGGACGAACATTTTTGATTAGAATCTTTAACTATTCAAAAAAAAAAAAGTTTAATAATACCAAGAACTCCAATAGTGGTAACACCATTGAAGATGCTCTAACTGAGTACACAATCTATCTATATATTTGTATGCTCTGAAAACGTTATTTTTCAAGTTGAATATCTTGAATAACAGAATTATCGTCTTCTCAAAGTTATTAAGTTTTCACCAATCTTTCACGGTATCAGAATCATAGTGGACTTACCAGATCCTTTATTTTCTTCTCCGTAAACCATTACTCAATGTGTTATTTTGAAGCTCAATGATTTTAACTAATCTATCATGGAAATTTCAGTTTGAGTGATTTCTCAAGAGTCTGACTCTTCTCGCTACGTCAATTGCTGATAATATTTTTTGTTAACATCAATACTTTATTAAAATCAAATCGTAAATTGATGATACAAATAGTTAATTAACCAAACAGGAGGATAATGATAAAATTGAAACATATGAATATCTTCTATTCCTTTAAGTGAGATGATGTCTGCAGCTTGATTCTTCTCTCTGTTAACATGATCAATCGAACATTCCGGGAGTTGTCTCATCCACTGATGGATATCAAACATCACATTACCCAAATCTGAATGCCAAGTTTTTGAGTTTATAACTTTAGTAAGTTCCAGGTTATCACTTTCAAACCAAACATTTCTCCATCCTCTAATCCACATACTTTGGCAGACAGTAACAAGACATCATATGATTTTTTAATGAGGTAATTACTGATTTGATGATCACTTCCTTTCGTCCTTTAGTAAAGAACTTAAAATTCCAGCCATTAACCCTACTTTTCAAACGTTCCTGCACAAATCCAAAAACTTGTACCTTGGACCCTCCAATATTTTCAGTTAGCCCCAAATAAGATCCCATTCCAACTAAGTTCTGAACTCCTGCATGCTAGATTCCTCTCTCTTATATCCGAACTGTATCGATGATTTTGAAAATTAATTTGTTGACCTGATACCACCTCGTACTCCTTTAATATTCTGAGGATGGTTTGACATTTCTCCTTTTGTGCCCTGCAGAAGAAGAGATTATTGTATGCGAAGAGTAAATGCAATATCGATGGGCAAGCTCTTGCTACCTTCATTCCGGTCAATTGTTTCTCCCTCTCAGCCTTTTTATATTTGCAATTAATGCTTCAGTACACATAATGAATAAATAAGGCGATAACGGATCTCCTTGGCGTAGCCCTCTATGGGAAATTATGAGACCGTGGGGTTGTCCATTAAGTAATACCTGGTATTGGACCGATGATATACATTCCATCATTAATTTAATCCAATGCGTATCAAAACCCATTTTCCGTAAGAGAGCCTGGATAAAATCCCATTCCACTTTATTATACGCTTTACTCATATCCGTTTTGATAGTCATATATTTGTTCTGGCATGCTTTGTTGGTTCTCAACCAATGAAACATTTCCTAAGCTATAAGAATATTATCCGATATCAACCTTCCAGCCACAAATGCCGATTGAGTTCCCAAGATAAGTGTAGGAAGACATTGCTTCAACCGCTGACATAATACATTCACGATAATCTTATACCCAACATTACACAAATTTATTGGTCGAAGTTCTGTCATTTTTGTGGGTCGTTCTGCCTTTGGAATCATACAAATATTGGTAATGTTTAACCTTGAATCCATTTCTCATGACACCAAGAAATTATTCACCATCTCCACCAGATCATGCTTAATTATATGCCAAGAGTGTTAAAAAAATAGAACTGTCATTCCGTCTGGTCTAGGAGCCTTCTCTGGAAGCATCATAAAAAGAGCCTGGTGGACCTCTTCCTCCCTCGCGATACGCAGCAGCCTCTGATTCGTCTGAGAGGTGATAGACGGTGGTATCTCCTCGAGGAAGCTATCAAACTCAGACGGAGAGGTGGTAATAAATAGTTCCTCGAAATAATCCACTGCCACTTTCTCCACCCCGTTCTCCTTTGTGACCCAACTTCCGTATTCATCGTAGAGCCCTACAATCCTATTACGGATCCGCCGTTGCTTTGTCAAAGCATGGTAGAATTTTGTGTTAGGGTCTCCGGATATATACAACATATTCCACCTTTTTTGATACCAATAATCTTCTTCATCTTTATATGCCTTCTGTAATTTCCTCGATACCTTGAGTATTTCCTCTTGAGATCTATTGTTATCTGTTTATACCTCTTTGAGAGATTTTTGAAGTTCGTCAATTTTTTCTTTTCCGTATGGTTTATTATTTTTCCGCCATTTAACAATCTCATGGCAATAGTCACTGATTTTTTAAACGAAATCCTTTGCGCGATCTCCATTATTTTCTGACCATCCTATGGCAATTGATTCTATGAGGCCGTCCTTTCCGATCCATCGTTATCAAAACGAAACTTCCCTCTTCGCCTAGGGACCTTATCTTGTATATATTCCACGACTGGCCGATGATCCGATGCAATCATCCCAAGATACTTCGTGTAGGAACATGGAAAGAGCGTATGCCAATCTTCATTAGCTAGAACACGATCCAGGCGACATCGAACCATCATTGCCCCTTTCCCTCTTCTTTCTTGCCAAGAAATTTTGTTTCCCGGAGCCGGAAACTCCAATAAACCACTATTTCTTATCATGTTGTTGAAATGCTCGAAGGAGGTGGCACTCCTCAGGGATCCTCCCTCCATTTCATGATTCCTAGTAATCTCATTCAAGTCCCCAATAATGAACCATGGTTCGGATCTCACTAACTCATATTTAGTTAAACGGTCCCATACTTGCTCTCTTAACTATTACACCGGGTCACCATAAACGAAAGTAAGAAAGACGTGTTTACCAAGAGTTTCTGCTTCCACATCTATCATTCGGTTGCTAGAATATAGTACCTTAACCTGATACTCATTATTATAGATGAGGGCGAGTCCTCCACTATTCTCGATTGGGTCCACAGTAACCAAATTATCGTAATCAAAATGTGATTGGAATCCTTGCACAAACTCAAAATCTTGTTTCGTTTCAGATAAAAATAAAAAATCTGGTTTATGTTTATGCCATATTTTCCGAAGGTAACTAATTGTCCAACTACTTTCCATTCCTCTACAGTTCCAACTTAGTATTCTCATTTAAAAATGATTGAGGGATTGCTCCTTTGAACTATGTAGTCGGGTATAAAGAGTCTCTGAATGAACTTTAACCAATTTGATCCCCATAACAGTCTCGTTGCTGATCATGTCCAAATTGCAGTATAGTTTAGAAAACCTGCTTTCCATTATGTTTAATCTATTATTACGTATAATAGTCCAAAGTAGTGGCATAATTAACCTTACAACATTTGCTTTTATCCACACAATGATCATAAAACGAGTTTCTAGATTTTTACATGAGTTTAACATTTTCATAGTATATAAATTATTATAAAATTAATGGCAGCTAATTTTTAAAATTATAGAAAGTATAATAACGTTTAGTTATTTTTTTTTATTTATATACTGCATAAAATGAATATAAAAAATTAATAGCAATCGATATAAGGATTTCATATTCATATAAAATATAGTCGTATCTATGGTAATTATTAATCTCTTGTAGTGTATGCTTTACAAATATTTAGGCTCTAAAGATTGGACGGATTATATTTAACGAAACATGTGAGAACTTTGATTTAATTTTTTTTTTTTGCATTTAAGTAAAATAATATAGTGAATAAGGTAATGTTATGATTGAAAATATTCTAAGATGGATTTTTGGTTCATTGATTATATATTTTGTATTACTATTTATAGATAAATAAATATTTGGAAAAATATGTAAAAATTAGAAAAATGCTAGCAATAATTTAACAAAAAGACGAATGATAACGAGAAAAATAAGAAGAGGCCAAAGAAGATGCATAATATGTGTTAGAGAAGTTAATGTGATAATTACATACATAATATAATTCTACAAGTATTTGTTAATACTAAATATTCATCAGTTATTTTCACATCAATTTTATGGAAGCTTTACGACTGATTATCAAACTATTTGAAGTTAAAAATTATGTTTTTAATATTTCTAATTCTTATGCAATACTATAT